GCAGGATTTTTTAACTAGTTCCTTATATGGCAGCTGTTTCAGCTCTGCCTAGAGAATTTAAGCCGTCAGCCTGGCCAACTGTTGAATACCACAGGGAGAGGCATCATTTGGCTCCCAGGAAATAAGAACTCCAAAATACCTACCATCGCAGGGCGTAGCCCTGAAATGACTGCCACTTCTCCGAGCCATGAAGCCAGACTCTGCTCCCGCTGTGGCGAGTTGTAGAGAGGTAAATGACTGCCTGTGTTTTTGTGGGGAAGAGAGAAATGAGCTTTTTAGCTTTCTGTAAAAAGAGCAGGGCTCCTGCCTTGGGTGATTCAAACGCATTGCTAGAATATGGAACATGTCGTTGGCAGAAAACAGAGGTGAACCCAGCAGGTATGAGCTGCTTGCTAGGGAGGGTGTCAGGAACTCCACCTGTCCCCTGGAGAGACTGACTTCTTCAAATGAGATCCATGACTCATTCTTTGCCTGGAAAAGACAGAAACCTTTCATTATCCCCTTACTTGTAGAAAATAGGTTTGTGTGTGTGCGTGCAGAAATTTTGACAACATAGGTGTTTGAATTCAGAGACTGCTAGAGATTTTAGAACAAACAAGTTACAAATGCAAAATAATCTTATCTTGCTAATTGGAGAGGAATGCCCTTTCATATTGATGAGCACATACGTGCAGTTCATCATAAAATAGGTGAAGTGTTTTGCTCCATCCTCTGTCCTTGTTCACAGAAAACAAGGCTCACCACACATCCAGGCCATCATAATAAGGATTGCTTTCTTAGTCTTCATAAAGCTCTCGAGCTCTAAGCCAAAGGCTGTTGTTTGTTTCTTTCCATTTACAGCTTGCCAGCAGCCTGCTAGGTGATGGCCCAGAATCCATAACTAGCTGCAGTCTTGCCAGACAAGACCTGGGAAGCTTCTCCATCTGCCTGCAGTGGCAGTCAGACCTGTACTGATGAAATGGCCTAAGTGCAGGGAAGGCTGGGATTCAGATAGTCGGAGAGATGGGGGAGGTAGATGTTTCCCTAGGACATGCTTTTTAGTCATTTGCTGAAAAGACTTTCATTGCTGTGTAAAGCTGCCAGCTATCTAGAACAAAGAAAATAGATCAATGGGGCATTCTTGGAAATAATGGGCATCACCACTTTCAGCAAAGAGGAATAGGACACGGGAACAGATATAGAAAAGATGCTGAAGGAAAAGGTAGATTCTGTTGCCCAAAAGAAAGCAAGATAGCAGAGGTTTTCTGGAATATGGATTGGAATAGGAGGTGAATGGTGACAAGGAGACTGAAAAGGCAAGTCAAAGGGACATCTGTCTGGATAGGCTGTGTCATAGTGTGACAACAAGTATGACACAAGTTAAAACAATCCAGGTTCATTTTTTATGCATGTTAACATGCCCTCACAGATAAGCAGGAAGCTCCATCTCTCGGTCTCTTATGATCATCCAGTAAATAGGCTGATGGAGGCTCTGTTTGACACGGAGGCAGAAGAACAGAACATACCTTAATTTATATTGAACACTGAATGTTAAAGCTTCCACCCAAATTGGGCACATATGGCTGTTGCATTTTATTGCCAAAGCAAGGCACTTGACCATACCTAACTTCCAGGGTATAAGAAAGTGAAATCTCCACCATGCTTGGAAAGAGAACCAACATTTTTGGGAATAGCACTAATACTCATTAGTGCTACAGCAGACATCATAGACTGAGAAAAGAATGGGAGGGAGTCTCTGGATGGGAGTGGTAACCATGGTCACACACATTGGAGGAGCTGGGGCAGGCTTTGAATAGGGATATAAATCTGACAGGGAAATCATGTCATCAAGCTCCTATTTCTAAAGTCTTGACCTGTTGCATTCATACACACACACATGCAAGCCATTGATTCTCATCAGGTAAGTAATATAGCTTTAGGTTTTACTTTTGCCCCATTCTCTTTCTCCTGTCATTTGGGACATCAGTTACAACGATGTTAGAACATTTCACAGTGTCCTATTTAGCTCTTGTTTTTTGATATTTATCATCTTTTTTGCTTGTTTCATCTTAGATATATTTTTTCTGACCCAGCTTCTAAGTTTACTAATTCTCTCTTCAGCTGTGTCTAATCTGATCTTAAACTCATCCAATATGTTAATTTCATTCATAACATTTATCCATATTAGGATTTCCATTTGGTTTACTTTTTATACTTTATAGGCATAATTTCCAGTTAGTTATCAAAATTTTTAAGTGAATATTTTATATTCTTAAACATACTAATCATTTCTTTTTAAAGTTTGTGTCTATTATCTGGACTCCTTATCAGTCTACTTTTTCTGTTGTCCCTTTGGCTGTTAACTTATCTTCCTTTATGACTGATTATGTCTTGATAAGTGTCAGATATTATGTATTAAAATAGAGAGATAACTTGAGGCTTCGAATGCTGTTATATTCTTCTAGAGAGGGTGCACTTTGGCATCTGGCCAGCATCTAGGCTAGAAACACTAGCAATTTCAGGTCACATTAATTCAGCCAAGGATAGATAGATTATTTGAAGCTGAACTTCAGGCCCTGTGAGGACTAATCTGTTGGTTCACACTTATGCCCAGGTACCTGATAGCTTTGGGTATTTACTAGGATCCCTCCTACTCGGCAGTTTCTGAAACCTGCAGTTCCTTGATTTGCGGAGAACTCTATTCAGCTTTTCAGTCTTTTAGCTTCCACTTTCAGAATTTGCATCTGCCTCTGGGGAAAAGTGGTCCCAAACTCCAGGTTCATCTCTGGGCCTCTGTTCTCTCTTATACCTGTTTTCCTCACTGATTGGGTATCTCTCGGATGCCTCTAAATGGATGTTGTTATATTTCACTAGGCTTTCTAGTCGTTCTCAGTATGAGAACCATATCCAGAAACAAAACTCTAAGAAATGACGTTTAGATGAGATCTGAATGAGGAAGAACTAGAATTATCAAAATCTGGGGAAGAATGTCCAAGCAGGGGAAACATCAAGACAGATGTTTTAGGGTGAGTGACAATTTGGTTGCGTTCAAGGAATAGAAGAGCTATGGTGTGTGGAAATTAGGGAGCAAGGTAAATGGCTGACATGAGGTCAGCAAGGGTCAGATCACGTGGGCAGTAGAGGCCATGAGAAGGAGTGAGGATATTTTTTAAAGAATATTTTCTATTCACAATCACAAAAACATGGAATCAACCTAAATGTCCATCTGTGGTAGACTGGATAAAGAAAATGTGGTATATATACAGTGTGAAATACTATGCAGTCATAACCAAAAAAATGAGACCGTGTCTTTTGCGGGAACATGGGTGGAGCTGGAGGCCATTATCCTTAGCAAACTAACACGGGAACAGAAAACCGAATACTTGCATGTTCTCACCTGTAAGTGGGAGCTAAGTGATGAGAACATACGGACATGTAAAAGTCAACGACACACACTGGAGCCTATCAGAGGGTGGAGGGTGGGAGGAGGGAGAGGACCAGGAAAAATAACTAATGCATACTAGGCTTCATCGCTGGGTGATGAAATAATCTGTACAACAAACCCCTGTGACACGAATTTACCTGCGTGACAAACCTTTGCATATACTCCTGAACTTAAAAGTTCAAAACAAGAATATGTGAAGAGAAATGGACTCGGTTCTCTGTATGTGTTGTTGAATTGGCCTCTGCCTTTAGGGAACTTTCGTAGTGGAGTGGTTCCTGTGTTATGTTCAGTTCCTAGGATCTTGAAATATGTAAACGATCCAAAGGCTCTGCTTGTAGACTTGAGAACTTCATCCGAGCTTCCTAAGTGTTTGGTTTATCCGTAAACCAGGCTGCCTACCTGCATCAGAGTAGCTTCAGCAGATTGGAGTAAGCTCGGAGGTGCCATTCAGTGGCGCGGACTCTCGGGAAGGGGCCGATTGATGGAGTGCTTCTTACCTCTTCTCGTTTCCTTCTCTCCATTGTCTGTTTTTTGAGATGGAGTCTCGCTCTGTCATCCAGGCTGGAGTGCAGTGATGCGATCTCAGCTCACTGCAACCTCTGCTTCCCAGGTTCAAGCGACTCTCATGCCTCAGCCTTCTGAGTAGTTGGTACTACGGGCATATACTGCCACACCCACCTGGTTTATTTACTTTTAGTAGAGATGGGGTTTCGCCATGTTGTTCAGACTGGTCTCAAACTCCTGGCCTCGGGTGGTCCACCCACCTCAGCCTCCCAAAGTGCTGGGATTACAGGCGTGAGCCACGCGGCCTCTCCATTGCCTGTTGCTTTCATGCCAGCCAGTGTTCGGTCCCAAGTCCCCACCATGTCCAGGCCTTTCGGGAAGCCCGAGCCAAGCTTCCCCATTCCCTGAGGACGTGGCCCCATCTACTTATGGATCTCCGCCCTGGAGAGTAGTATATACATACTGAATGAAGGCATGCCTGAGTGAGTAGCCTAACTCACACAAGGACGTAACTCATTGTCCCTGGAGAGAGCTTGCTTACCTAAATGAATTCATAACCCCTAGATAACATAGAGGAGCTAATTTTGAGCAGGATTTCAAATTATGTTTTTTTTTTTTCTCAAGAAATCTTCCATGGAAGAGAGTGCCTGTTCTCAGCATCCAAACCTCACATATCAGCCCCATTTCTCCCCCACCATTTAGAAATGGCTTACCAATTCACAAGTCACAGGAGACACAGGTTACTGCTTCCAGAGAGAGGCGTTGGCATGGGAAGACACGTATGAAAAGGCCCAAAACTGGGAATCATGTTTCCGTGAATGCAAGGGGCTCATGCACTGGGTTCAGCTCACGGAAACCTGAAATCCATGATCCAAGAGCCTGACTTTGTAGACGAAAGACCCCATCTGTCCTGAGTTTCAAGAATTGCTAGTTTATCCATAAACCAGGCAGGGAAACCTACATAAGAGCCTATGGACATTCAAAACAGCAAACAGCAGAGGCCAAACGTCAGAGCGGAACCCGCGTCCTGGCCTGCACTCCTGCAGTTTGGGGCTGCAGTCCCGTTGCCGGTGCTCAGCTGGGCTGATCCTCTTCTACATGCTCAAGGGTCTTTGTTCCATACAGGTCTCGGCTCTGGCAATTGTTCTGAACCCAGACATGCATAGCTGCAGGATTATGCCACTAACAGGCATTGCTGAAAAAAGAGGAAAGAAAAAAGAAAAAAAATGCCTTTCTTTGCATTAAAATTTTGTCAAATGACATTTTCTAATACTGTGTCCTTCAAGCAGATTGCACTCATGGTGAAGATCTCCTGGGCTTGTAAAGTCATCTTCTGTAGAAAAGGCCATCTGGCCAAGTAATCCCAGCACGTAGGGAGGCCAAGACTGGCGGATCACGAGGTCAAGAGATCGAGACCATCCTGGCCAACATGATGAAACCCTGTCTCTACTAAAAATACAAAAATTAACTGGGTGTGATGGCACACGCCTGTGATCCCAGCTACTCAGGAGGCTGAGGCAGAATTGCTTGAACCTGAGAGGCGGAGGTTGCAGTGAGCCGAGATCATGCCACTGCACTCTGGCCTAGCGATAGCTCGAGACTCCATCTCAAAAAAAAAAAAAAAAAGGCAAACCATTCCATCTAAGGGGGTACAACGTGCTTTGGATGTGGATTTCTCGCCTTCCCTCTGTGCTCACTGATGAGTCACTCATATGGCCTTGTATGCAACCCACTGTCATTTCTCTAAGTACGTACCATTTTCACCCCAGAGCTCTTGCAGATGATGCATCAACTTGCTTGATTGTTTCCTGTGACGTGTGTAAGGAGTCAAGCAGCATCTGACCATTTCATTCCAAATGAGCCAGGAAGGGTCTCAGCACTGCGTTTTTTGACCAGGGAATTCAGGGGCGCAAATATTTGAGAACACACAGCTCTGGGCTCTGGAAACAGCACTGGCTTCCTGCTCCATCGCTCCAGCTTGGGCAATTAAGATCACAGATGGTAGGAGAACAGGACCCTTCTGGGAGCTTTCTTAAATCAGATTCTAGAAAGAATATAGAACATAGTCGTTGTCCAGGAAGTGGCTGTGAACAAACATTCTGGGTTCAAGAGCTTGAGCTTCTATTTACAACTCTGCATGCCTCACAGGCAGGTGACGTATTCGTTTTTGGGTCTTCGAGTTAGGTAAAGAGCATTTTATGGGGAAAAAAAATAGAAAATGAGAGAGGTAAAGTGACTTGCTCAAGATCACTTTACAAGGCAGTGCCAGGTTGTTCCAAAAGGACCCAACTTCCTATTCCCCAAGCTCAAGATTTGGCAGCCCTCTCTGTTAGCTGGCAGGGAGGGCTCTGAAGGGCCAAGTATTGATTCATTCAATTATTTTCATGTGGAAAAAGGGGCATAGTTCACACTAGGCATTGAAAATAGCTGTGGAGAAGGCAAATTTGCTCTCTGCTCTTACAGAACTTTCATTGCAGGAAAGAGACAGACGATAAGAAAAAATCAGGATCATGATCTATTCTATGAAGGAGGGGCACAGGATGTGGAGAGAGCAGGTTCCTGAAAGCAGCTGGGGAGGCGTCTCTGAGGAGGGAGTGTTCAGGATGCCATGAGGGAAGGAAGCGCTGGAGCCAGCCACACACAGTCTGGGCAAGCGAGTGTCAGGAATGGGAGGTGGAAGAACAGCCTGGCACATTCCAGAAACAATCCTAGGCCAGACTGGGCAGCACTCAAGAGAACAGGGTGGGAAATTTCATTTCACTCTGAACACAAAGGGAAGGCAAGAAGGGTTTTAAAGCAGTGAGGCCATAATTTGATTTGAATTTTTATTTTTTATTTATCTTTTTTTTTTAGAGACAGGGTTTCTAAGTGCAGTGGCACAGTCACAGCTTACGGCAGCCTCCACCTCCTGGGCTCAAGCAGGCCTCCCACTTCAGCCTCTGGTGTAGCTGGTACTACAGGCATTCACCATTGCGTCCAGCAAATTTTTTCTTTTTTTTTTTTGAGATGGTGTCTTGCTGTTGCCTAGGCTGGAGTACAGTGGCGTGGTCTTGGCTCATTGCAACCTCCATCTCCCGAATTCTAGTGGTTCTCTTGCGCCAGCCTCCTGAGAAGCTGGGACTACAGGCGTGCACCATCATGCCCAGCTAATTTTTTTATAGAGATGGGGGTTTCACCATTTTGACCAGGCTGGTCTTGAACTCCTGACCTCAGATGATCTGCTGACCTCAGCCTCCCAAAGTGCTGGGATTATAGGCATGAGCCACTGCACCCAGCTGTGTCTGGCTAATTTTTAGGGTTTTTTTAGAGACATGATTTCACCGTGTTGCCCAGGCTGGATACAAACTCCTGGCATCAAGTGATCCTCCTTCCTTGACCTCCCAAAGGGCTGGGATTACAGGTGTGAGCCGCCATGCCTGGCCTTACTTTGTACTTTTAAAAGATCACTCTGGGTAGTGTGTGAAAAACTGAGAGTTTGAAGGCAAGAATAGCAACAGGAGGCTGAGTATGGTGGCTCATGCCTGTGGTCCCAGCTACTCAGGGCCTAAGGTGGAGGGATGCTTGAGCCCAGGAGTTTGAGGCTGCAGGAAGCTATGAGTGCCCCTGCACACCAGTCTGGGCGACAGAGCAAGACCCTGTCTCAAAAAGAAGAAAAAGGGTGGCAACAGGAGTTTGTTGCATCAGAGAGAGAGAATGGAGAATGGAGGGTGGGCCTGGTGGTGGCCATGGGGTGGGAGGAGTGGGTGGGGTCTGAATACATTCTGGGCATGGAATTGGCAGGACATGCAAATGGTGGGTGTTGCGGTGGGCAGGATGAGGGGAGGGAGGAATCAAAGACATTACCTAGATTTTGACTGTAGTAACTCACCAGATGGAAAGAGGTTCCACTTATTGAGGGGGGAAGACAGAGGAGGAGCAGTTTTGCAAGTTGGGAGCGCAAAGAGTTCTTTTTTGCATATTCTAACCAAAAAAAAAAGCAGATGCGGGAATGGGTGGAGAAACACCCTCTCTCCCTTCCTCTCTTTCTCTCTCTCCCTCTCTCTCATTTCCTCTCTCTCTCTCTCCTACTGAAGATGAGTCTGTGTATTAAAATTCCAAAGCACAACAAACAAATATAATGAAAAATGGTGAACAAACTGAACAAGTAGGAACATTAATTCCTGAAGCTCTTCAAATAATAGAGCAAAGTCTGAATTGAACTTAAGTTCATTTGATTCCTCAGAGATAAAGGTGATAATAACACCTGGAAAGCAAGCATAACAAATGAGCCAAAAAACAAGCATCAAAAAGGTGTGAGAAGTTGGGCATGGTGGCAGACATCTGCATTCCAGCTACTCGGAGGGGGCTGAGGTGGGAGGGTCACTTGAGCACAGGAGTTGGAGTCCAGCCTTGGCAACATAGTAAGACCCCATCTATAAAGGAAAAAAAAAAAAAAAAAGGTGTGGGAGCTCTGATTCCTCTGTCTGAGAGCACAGTGACCCCTGGCCCTGGTTCCTTGCTTCCATTGGTCCCTGCTTCTCCATCAGCAGAAGTGAAGAGGGAGAAACCCAGAGTCCTGTACATCCCTGGTAAGACTCCCACTCCCCCCTCCTCCTGCCCTCTCCACAGTTCTCATCTTACTGCCAGCTCTGAGGCTCACTATGCCTTTTATCCCCGGTGACCTTGATCCCCATGAAAAAGCCAAGGTCACGCAGACTTCCCTTTCTCCTAATCAGCAAGGCAAGTCCTCACTCTCTGTTCTCCTCCTCTGGGGTACTTTTTTACCATAGCACTTACCGTTAACTGATGTACTCTATGTTTTATTTAAATGTTTCACTGAATTACTCATTTATGTCAGGAGAACATATGCTTCTGTATTTTATTACTGCTGAGACCCCAGAACACAGAATGGTGTTTGGCATTTTATAGATACATAATAAATGTTGTTGAATGAATGAATCGCAGAGATTTAAAAAAGTAATAATAATGAAGAGCTGCTACTTTAACTCCTGAATCCCAAATCCCAATTATAAACTACAGGAAGGACAAATAGGGTTATTGAAATAATAATAAAAGCATAGATTAGGTAAACCTATGGTGAAACTGCCTACAATAGAAGAGAGAATTTATGGATTAGATTATACTACCAAGAAAATGACCCAGAATACAGCTCAGAGACAACAACATTGAGAAGACAGGTTGATAGGCTCCACTATATGCCCAACAGGGGTTACAGAAGTAGATAATAGCAGAGAATCAATATTTAGAAGAGTTCGCTGAACTGTGAAAGACGTGAATCTTTAAACCCTCAAATTGAAAATGCACGCTAGGTGACTGGCAAGATAAATTCAAATGAACTCGTCTCTATACACAGAGAAACATCATAGTAGAACTGCAGAGTGTCAGGGATAGAGAGAAAAATCTAAGAAGCTACCAGGGAGAAAAGATAGGTTATTGCAGAAAGAATGTCAGGCTGACCGTCAACGTTCATGAGCAATGAAGGGTACCAGAAATCAGTGCTGGGATAAAATAACTCATCAAAGTGTTAGGTCAAATAGCTGCATCGGGAAATCTATACACAATTAAACCCTCTTTCAAGAATGGGGAATGTAACGAAGACATTTTCAGACATATGCAGGCTAAGAGTTTATCACTCATAGCACTTCTCTGGAAGAATTGCTAATGAATCTATTTTCACCAGAAGAAAAGTAAGCCCAGAATTGGGAGTGGAGCGTAGCAAAGACTGGTAAACAACCATATCAGGGAAATGTGCTGGTAAAACTAATGAACTACTGATCATTCCTATTAAGAATAATTAGTATTTTGGCCAGGTGTGGTGGCTCACGCTTGTAATCCCAACACTTTGGGAGACTGAGGCGGGTGGATCACGAGGTCAGGAGTTCAAGACCAGCCTGGCCAACATGGTGAAGCCCCGTCTCTACTAAAAATACAAAAATTAGCCGGGCGTGGTGGTGCACGCCTGTTATCCTAACTACTCTGGAGGCTGAGGCAGGAGAATCGCTTGAACCCTGGAGGCAGAGTGGGTGACAGAGCAAGACTCTGTCTCAAAATAAATAAATAAATAAATAAAAATAATGAGTATTTTGTCTTAAGGCAACAGTGGAGTGAGGAAGTGGTGATCACTTGCAAACATAACTTTTTGAACAATTATCGTGGCTTTTCCTGATGCTTCAGGTTTCATAATCTTCTATCCTTTCATCCACCAGCCAGCAGGTATTCAGGGACCATCGGTTCTGCAGATTCCACCACACACTCTGGGTATGGCACACGAGACGGTAGACACAGCCTCCCTCCCTTTTCTCCCTCCCTCCTCTTTTCCTTCCCCTGTCTCTACTAAAAATACAGAAAATCAGCTGGGTCTGGTGCCGGGCACCTGTAATCCCAGGTGAGATTACTTAGGAGGCTGAAGCAGGAGAATCACTTGAGCCTGAGAGACAGCGGGTTGCAGTGAGCCGGGATCACACCACTGCACTCCAGCCTGGGAAACAGAGTGAGACTCTTGTCTTATTAAAAAACAAAACCAAAAATCCTCTTTTTCTTTATAAATTACCCAGTCTTGGGTATATCTTTATCAGCGGTGTGAAAAGGGACTAATTTCCTTTCCTCCCTCCCTCCCTCCCTCCTTTTCCTTCTTTCCTTCCCTCCCTCCCTCCCTTTATCTCAGCCCCCTTCCTTTCTTCCTTTCCAGGATTCTCATGCTCAGTGGGATTCTCTCTGCCCTCTGCCCCTCTGCTAGGTGGGTGAGAGGGTGGGAGGGTCCCGCAGGTCCGGTGTCAGTCTAGCTGCCTCCCCTCCCTTACGAAACAGGGCTCATCTGGGAAACACCAGTGAGGAGAGTTCACAGCGAAAACCTAAGACATTCCATTTTCTAGTATCATTCTTGCATCTCACAGCTTAGATCAACTGAGTCCTTTGCTTCCTGGCTTTTGTCTGTCACAAACATTTAAGGCTTTCCTCTCCCTCATTCTGGTAGAAAAAGAGGAGGCAATAAAAACTGGGAGAAGGAAACTCTGTATTCGACAAATATAAAAACACGAGAAAGGC